TGGTATTTGTCCCAGGGAAAAATCTCACTTGCGAAGTTGGGAAAAATATTGAGTTAGTCAATACTAATCACAGTGCCAACTAAGAGTCCTTGGGGAGTCCATGAAATGACGTGAAAAGAAGAAGAGAAATTTTGTTGTGTTTTTTAACGAGAAATAAGCCCAGAAGTTTCATTCCTGCGATTCGAACATGGGAAAAATCCCGTGAAACATCCCGTGGAGACAAGGCGTAAAGTAGTAAAATCACCTTTCGTCGCTCCTCTGACACGGGGGCATAACTGCTTTATGAGTTGAGCCCTGTTGTCCATATATCTCCATGTTTTTCAGGGCTCTCGCATAAATACAGGTACGGTCGTACGCCATCGAGACGAAGAAGTAAGTGACAGGTAATTTCCACAAGGTTTCATTTTATATACATCTCAAAATATTTTTGACGATACAAAAAGTAAAATACTGCGGGGTTTTTATAGAAGGAAAAAATATATAAACAACGAGTTGTTTACCTAAAGGGAATCATTAACTTGAGGGCACGTAATGCTATTTGTAAAATGCTTATGATGGGATTTTGCTTTTCTATAACTATTAATGTTAAAAATATACCTTGAACTCATCGTACAAATTATAGTGTCAAGTTATCGATTTAGACCAGGAGCTTTTCATCGAGGCAGAGAATGACGAAGAAATGACGGCTTCCATAAAAAGTTCTTGTCACCGTCCACGTGTGTTTGATGCTGAATCTTGCGCACAAAGTCTATAAGTTCCAATCATAATTTTTGCGTCATGTTTATTATGTATTCAAAATAAAGTAAGAGAACTACCTAAATTGAAAATGAATTAATGAGATGGGTCATATCGGTTGAAATCAGTCTAAAAGAAGACCTTGCGTCTCGCGTATTAAAAAACACCCAAGGGGGAACTGGGGCTACTGTGGATGCGACCCACCGGTAGCGCAACGCTAAATACTTGAATGATGTGGTCAAGTCAAGACGAGCAAATACCGAAAGGCTAAATGATGATGATTGAACTCGAGGCCATAACAACGCGTTAACAGAATGCAGAGGAACGTATGAAAAATCTGAGACCCTCCTTCGTTTATTAGTGACTTTAATGAAAGGGTGAAAGATGGAAAACGAGGAGAGGGCAGGAGCAGGCGTTTGAATATATTAGTAGGTAAGATTTTTGACGGCCTCCGAAGAGATGTTAATGACTTCCCAAGCGGCATTGCCGCATATTTTCCACCACGACTTATGGGTTGCTTACGTTTTGACGGTGAAACATCTATTTTCTTTCTAGAAAATTTAAAAAATAGAAACAATCCAAACTTCCGTCTCAGTTTCACCTACAAGGATGGATTTTAAAGTGAAATTCGTAACTTTTTCCTTTCTAGAACCTTAGACGCTTGGAGTGAAAACAAAGCAGCTGTGAATCTTACGTACTTCCAGCTTTCTACTATAAGCTTAGCAATTTTTTTATGTTTTTTGTTTTGTTGAGAACATTTAAATATACCTCCTTACTTTTTAGAACTCCTGCACTGGGAAAAAAAAACACATTGGATCTAGAGTCTAGACTCTTGAAAACATTGACAAGAAAAAATACTCTTGATTCAATCGGATTTTTGCTCGGATCATAACGAAATCCGCTTAAATTAAGAAGCTTGGTCCTTGATTTAAGCTAGATTCTGATTGAATCAAGAGTACTTTTTCTTGTCGATGTTTTTAAGAGTCTAGACTCTAGATCCAATGTGTTTTTTTCCCAGTGTGTTTCCTTTTTACATTGTAACTGCGATTTTTTTTTATTTTTTAAAAAAAAATTATTAAATATTCACGGCCGGATTTACTTACTTGCCGCCTATGGGCCGCCTGTATTTTGCCGCCCCCTTCTCATTCGTTTTGAAACATCAATAAAAACCATCAAGTGAACGTGCCGGAGGGAAAGAGGCGTATAAGACGCGTTTACTCGTGATGGTCACATTTTTTGCGAAAGCCCTGTCAACACTACTAGCAAAAGTTCACGGAACTTGGCGCGAAAGTTAAGTTTCGTAAACCTATCTCTGTATGGACAAGGTCCTCCATTTATAAGAGATGAACCAAAAAATTATGAAAGAACAAACATAAATGTGGTTTAATAATTTTAACTTCCGCCGCCGCGCCGCGCTGACCGCACTGTGTTAGACGCAATGCGTGCGAAGTATTTCTACAGTCTTACATGCGCTATGCGTTTCGGGCCGACCGCTGCTGCACGCACTGTGTTTGACGCAATGCGTGAAGTATTCATGCAGTCTTGTAGGCGCTATGCGTTTCACGCTGCCCGCTGCTGACCGCAGCGACCGCACTGTCTTTGGCGCAATGCGTGAAGTATTCATGCAGTCTTGTAGGCGCTAATATGTGTTACGTGCCAACCGCCGCGCCGTGGGTTTCTCCTTTTCATCTCACGTTCTCGTCATCATTGCTCTCTGCGCCGCGCCGTTCCAGGCCAAATTCCGTGTTCGATTTCTCTCTCAGTCTTAACTCGACTAATTAAAGGTGCTGTCTATTGTATCACAGGAGGACGACAAAATTAGAGATATACTCTCAGGAAATGAGTGATTTTGTCACCTTTTCTCGTTCGTAATTTTTTTTTTCTGAATCCGATTTTTCTTTATAGCTACATTTAAAAAAATTGCAAAATTTGCCGCCCCCTAAATTTACCGCCATGGCCCGCTGTCCATGTGGCCACCCCCTTAATTCGGCCTTGTAAGTATTCCAAAAATCTTCCTCCGTCGCGCACTTTTCACCCATAATTTATGAAACTTACTAAATTCTTGCCAAGTGAGAGTAATGAGGGATAAAATCTTCTTGTTCATGACTCGTCGCTCCTCTGACGTAAGGGCTTATCTCAATTTCAATGTGAGCCCTCTTTCCCGTATAACTGCATGTTTTCCAGGGCTTATATAGAAAAAAAGATACACCTTTACGTCAGAGGAGTGACGAGCTGTCAGCTCCCATGTCTGTGTCTTTTTTCTCTACCAACATTTATGAAGTAAGATATTTATGTGTCTTGTGATTCACTGACTGATATTCATTGTTTACTATTTAGAAATCATTTGTCATATATATTGAACAAATCTGTCATGTCATCATCCTCCTGATATAAGGGCGTAACTATACTCTGCGATGAACCCTGTCGCCATATAACTCAATGCTATTCCGGGCTCATCTTCAAAAGTAGTTTTTCCCTTTTGTCAGCCAAGCTACGATGTGTGCGGATTTTTTTTCCAGTTCCGTCGCGAGAATGGAACGATAGAAATGACGGAACCAGGAGCTGGATCGCAGAGGGCACCATGCAAAATAAAAAAGTGAGGGGAGAGAAAAGGAGAAATAAACAGGAAATGGGAGAGAAGCGAAGAAAAGGAAATGAAGGAATAAGTTAAGAAAGAGGGAGGAGGAAACAAAGAAAACGTGAAAGATAGGGAAATGAGAAGAAATAGGGGATGGAGAGGCAGGAAAAATGGAGACGAAGATCGGCATTGACATTGAAGAAACAGGCACCTCTTTTGATAGAAGACCAGTGGCGTGGCGTGAATTGCGATGTATCGATTGTTATGTCATTTAAACCTATGGTAAAGAATCATTTATTAAGGTGTTCGCTGCGAACACCCTGTTTATCAATCCTTTTCCATAGGTTTAAACGGCAGATCAATCGATATATCGCAAAGTACGACCATTCTTGGAGCTTAATTTTTGAATATGAAGCCGCATAGGTATCGGTGACGTGGCATCTCGTGTCTTTCTTCGAAAAAGAGGTGCACTTGTTGGCGCCTCTTCCTAACACAATAAGAGGCGTGTTCAAAGACGGCGAGTGGTTTCAGAGGCCAAATAGTTGCACAATGTAGAAACCCAATCCACAGTGCGGCCACGTGGATTAGCGATCGCAATTGCGTGGTTGAGATAATTCTTTGATGAGGAGTGACAACGCATAAGAAACGCCTTCATTGAGAAAAGATACTTCCTAGCGTGGCCATGAAGGCCGAATAGTTGCATCGTTTAAGAATCCGATCAGCAAAGCATCAGCATGCATTAGCGAATAATAAGGTGGTCGAGAAAAGTACTTCCTAGAGGATGTTATTATATTAAGTTGCGCTTTTATAAAGTTGCTTCCAAAATTTCCTAAACAGGATAACACTTTTATAGGGACGTGTTCTAGTATGAATACAACTTTGAACCTTTGCAATATCTTGTGCTTAATCATTATTATTAGCTCGCAGTTCAAGTTCTCTATCCTGCGAACTATTAATTTGTATTTCATTAGTTCAATTGCAGTTTTCTCCGTCTCAATGTTTGATCAGAATAGATTCAGTGAATTTTGGGTTTCCGGCACCCACTCTGCTTTTCTCTTTTTGAATTGGATACTTTGTGATTATTGCGTGGCATTTTGAATCTTTTGCACTCTGCGTAATTTGTTGAACTTTGTTGGATGAAAAAATTATGGTTTCAGGTTGCCTGTGAAGCTAATGAAGCATGCATAATTTTCTATTTGACAATGCCGCAACATCGCTCAATTTTGAAATTACAAAACCAACATTTTTCGAGAGGGAATCCCGGGCATTGCATACAAATAGCGTAAAGATATCAATGTCTAAACCTAAATATCAGAAAGTTCATCACAAAATTGACCTTTGGCACCTTTTAAAATGGTTTAAATTGGCCCAAATTTTGGCAAACACGTTTTTTTACCAAATGTCATCGATTGCCGCCAGGGGAGCGGAACATTTCAGACTTCCATTTTTTTTTTGACGCACCTTAGGCATACCCGGTTATTTTCGAGTATTTTCGGTTGATTTCTGATGACGTTATTGAGGCACCCGACGATGACTCCTTCGGGACAGCCGTTGATCACGTCTTTAAAGTACCCTCATTAATATCTTAAGTTTTGAAGAAGAGTCGAATTTTTCATATGCATGATTGTGAGCAAAAATGTGTATCTGAATGGACTGGGAGAATGAAAAACTACAGAAATTTGTTAAATAATTTTTAAACATCTTGAAATTTTATTCTACAAATACATTGAAAGCCAACTTTACAACAAAGACATTAAAATAAATTCATTATAGATTTCAAATTTATCCTATAAATATAAATTATAGTTCAACGTTTCAAACTTTATCAAATAAACGTTTATCAAATAAAATACACAATATAATTGAAAATGTGAATGTTTGCCTTGATAGGTATATTTCAAGCTCTTATATTCTAAAATCACAGATTTATCAGCATTAGTTAGACTCAAAGTCGTGATGAAATTGGCATTATTGCAGTTCTTCCATTTTCCACATTAAAACCCTCATATTATCTTTTGAGCGGAAGGTATGTCTTATGAATATTTTACTATCGTCGCATATCAAGCGCATTCCCTGATTCATATCAATAAGCATTCGGGGTTTTGATTGACAGTTCTATTGTAGCGCATTTTAAGTACACTTTACCCACATTGCGTCGAGTGATTAAATTTGTTACTAATTTCATACAAAATAGAACACGAGCCGTAATGGGGCACTTATACAAGGACGAATTAATTTGTCCCTGTCTTCAATGCAGGTTCGAAAACTTTACGACCACGGAATAAATTGCCGGAGACCTGCTGATACATGTTTAAAAAAACGGAGACTCCTTTCTCAGTACTGTCAGTAACTTTCCCTGTCACGCCCAAAAATCAATCAACAAGGTATACAACCAAAATTTAATTTAGTTACTCCTCTTATCCTTGTACAGAAGCTCGTAAGTCAGACCCGCGGCGACAGCAGGTGGGTAACTTTTCCGTAAGTCATGAGCCAAAAACAAAAACTTTAGCTATACTAAGGCTAAGAGCACCGTCAACGAAACATTTCATACCGATTCGCAATATCTGTAATATAATTTTGAAAATTTATGTATTTAAAGTACTTTTGCACATTTTTTTTACGACGATGTAAAACATTGATTAATTTCAAGGACACAGTCCAAGCTCACAATGCATCCAAGTGTGCAACAAATGTCGAAGATATTCATTCTCTAGTTTTTTCTTTTATTCACAAAAAATCTTTCTGACGCTTACAAAATTGAATGTGTCTTAAGAAAGCTATGTCAAAGAAAAACCTTTGTCCAGAACGTACGGTTTCTTTGTTGGTATGAATATGAGAGTATGTTTGCGAAGTAGTTATCTGTAAAGATAACAATCTTAAATCTAAATTTTTACAATGTGAACTTCTGGGTAAAAACCCATAGCTTAACTGATCTAAACTAGATAATACCGTTTCAAATAATAGGACGGAATTTGGTCGGATTAGAAATAGAAGTTCCAATTAGGATAAGACACAGTACGGGTACAAACATCAACTTTTAAATTAGGTAGAATTAAACATAAATTTCACACCGACAAACGATTCATTTAACATCCGTTTGGACAAAAATTCGACATTATTAATGGCGCGGTGTCATATATGTTGTTAAAATTTTCCCAACATGCAAGCAAGTGGTTGGTTTGAATTCAAGCTTAACATGATATTCTCTTGTCAGTTAAGAGTAATTTTAAAAATGATATACCCAGATAAAAACTGAGTATCACACATGTATTTCTATCCTCGACTAATTTTTTTAGATACTTTCGGAAAATTCCTCGAATGGCAATTGGAAAATCATTTTTTGGTTCAAAACCCGAATGAAGGTCACATCACACGTCAAACGAAAAAAAAACAGCTTACGTTTTCACAATTTTTTTATGGCATTCTGAAAAGCAGAGAAGACCGTTGATCTATCTGTCTATCAAATAGATGAGCTGTGCGGAATGAGGAACCCTTGTGCTCTACTCCTATCTCGTTCCACATTCCCACTTTCATCTTTAAGTTATAATTGAGGTGAAAAATGACGGCTTCTTTTATTCAACAACTGTCTATGGAATTGAGGTAAATTTTAAACTATCTCTTACATTGGTGCCAAAGTAGTAATAGAGGGTTATCTAATGAATAATCATAAAACTACCTATAAAAATGTTTTATTATAAGATGAAGAATGAATGGAAATCAAAAATTATTTAAAAAAACCAAATAATTGGACTGTATTTTGCAACTAGGAACTCCCATTTAATAGTTCATTCCAGAAACATAACGGTCCGTTTTTTATTATTTTGGGGAAATGATTTAAATTTCACAAATACTGGCAATCTAAAAAGGAGAAAAGTTTAGCTTGAAGCACAAAAGAGATGAAACTTTAAAAAATTAAATCAACTAAAGAGGCAGTCTGATTTTAAATGTCTAATTCTGATACTCAAGAATGGCATTACATAAAAGCAACGGCTAGAAACTAGAAGCAAACGCTTATTTTGCCATGACAGTTATATTTCTTTTATGCCTTCTAATCGGAAAAGATGCGTTTGAAAAGTAAAACATTTTTCAAGTCATTGAGTCAAGAAAAAAAATGTGAAATAACATACCTTAATATTTCTATTTTTTCAATCGTTTTATTGTTTTATTTTTATTTTTTCTTGAGCGACGTATAAGTAGGATGTTGTTTGTCATCAACATTATTAGAAATACATATATCTTTAGTAGATTCCAAAGGAATAGACACAAAAAGGGCTGAAGTGAGTGTTTCTTCGGGTAATTTTGAAACTTTGGTCATCCTGTGTTTTGCTGATGACCTGATAGTGGTATAGTGATGAAGTATGTTGACGCAACGTGATGAATACCAGTGTTCATTCAATGAGTCTCACTTTCGAGGTACCCAAACCTATTGAATTAAAGGAGCAGAACTTTGTTCACCATGACCTTCACTTCGGGTTTTTTGATGTTTCAATAAGGAAGAATAAAGCAGGAGTAGAAATAAATGCAATGCATGTTGGAAATAGAGAATTTTGATGAAAACATGTCTGGATACAGCCAAAATAATAAACAGAATTTTTCATTGTGTTTTTTCTAAGATTGAATTTCTAGATAACTTGTAAAAATAAACGGTCATCATATCGAACTTACTTTTTCATGAGCACTTAACTGCCCAACAATTGGTACTCAAAACTAATTAATGCGGTGAAAGTAGTATAGAGCTCTTGAAAAACTACATTTAATGTGAGCACTAGAAAAAATGTACACATTGAGCCTTCGGCATTCCACAACTTGTGAGACATAAAATGCTTGTGAAGCTGTAAAGGACTGAATTTTGAGGAAAATATCGAACATTTTATCTAAAAGAAAAAACCTATTACGATGATCTTAATATACTTCTTAATGAAACCACTCACATGAAAAAAATAAATGAAATCATAAACAAGAAAAAAAAGAAAAAAAGAAAAGGATTGCAGGTGATGCAATAGGTAGTAACATAACTTGAATTCCATCCTTAAATCGAGGGCAATACTTTAATTCGATCTTTGAGATGTCTAGTCCGTGTCAAAATATATATTGATTGTACTTTATGAGTATGATATTCCTTTTGAGGCATAACGACTTTCTTCAGCAGTCCTGGAGCTGAACTACTGACATAAATGGAGTCAGAATTTTTCCTACGGAGAAAAAACCTATGAACGAGCCTAACTGGATGGATGGACATACGTTATTTTGGCAACACTATTCATATTTGTGTGGGAAGAGAATCCATCTATAAAATATAAAATGAGAAAAAGATCAAAGATTTTCAGATCGTCCTCATATTTGGAAAATGAGAACAACGCAGCATTGAAAAAACATGAGATAAAACGAGACATGATAGGACCGGGTTCCATGGATTAGAATACGGGTGAGATCCCTCCTGAACTAATTAAATCTTTGCATCGGGAAGCGGGGAGAAGAGTTCAACCAATAGGGTGGACTCAACTAAAGTCAATCTGACAACATTTTGCGTTTCCGAATGTTCTCCAAAGTTTCATTTGTTTCTAACAGAACGTTTTCACGATTTAACAGAAAACTAGATAAAATGACGCCTGAAAACTATTTGTGAGCAGGGTAGAGTAGACTGAAGGAGACAGAATTATCAATTTCACGACCTACGGTTACATACAGTGGAGGGATAACAAAGATATTGCTCACGGTGGTTTAGGAGTTACTAACGACCAATTTCTGGGATCATAAAGGGAGGGGGTGGGGGGTTAAATATCTTACAATTTGTTTTTTTCATTATGAGATTGAACAAAGGTTATAATCTTGCAGATCATATACGAGTGACAACATGGTCTGAAAAATGTAAACATAGAGCTGTCAAATCCTCTCATCTAACTCTGGCGCCAAGTTTTCCCCCAGTCAAAAATAGGATCTATTCATGACAGATGAAAGCGTTAATGATGCGTTAATAATGAGCATCGTTTCACGGGTGACAATCTTAGAAAGAGAATCAAGAAAACGTGGATGTCACGATTTTTTATGACTTTTGAGCTGTGGTACTCAGTTGCAGTGTAGTTGCAAATTTCCCATATTTTTTCGATGGAAAATGTCAATTTGAAATCTGATCTGTGATGTGTTGGTGCGTTCCTTTGGTTGTGGGATTCTTGCTCTTGAGTAATGAAAAGACGAGCGCAGTAACTCGAAGTTTGTTGCTTTGTGTTGATGGACTTAGATTTGTCTACTATCGACAAAAGACTCTTGAGAGTTCGGAATGAATTTAGTCATAGCCGAGGCGGAGGCGATGGACCCTGGGTGAAAAATTGAATGCTACTTATCGGGTGTTGAATGAAATGTATTAGCTGACCAAGTCTCTGCTTTTGCGTAGCATCTCGAGGCGAATTTCATGTTCCCTTGCCTTGAGCCTTAAATCGGCGATGCTGGAGCTCCTACGGACAATTTCAGGGGGGGAGTCGGGGCCGGAGTTAGTAGCGGGGGACGGGGGGCCCTCGGACTCCGGGGGGCTCGAGGTTTCGGGGGCGAGAGCTTTAGGCCGCTGCGAGGCGGAGATCCCGGCGAGAAGGCTCTGGAAGGAACTTGTTGGCGTGTACGGGATGGGCCCCAATTGGGAGAGAAGTGGTGGGGGGCGCGGGAAGTGCGGTGGGGGCCCGAGAAATATCGTCGGATTCGGAGGCAGATGAGGGTATCTGAAGGAGTCGAACGGCTTCCGCAGGTTGAAGCTCAGGTGGGAGAAGGGATTCGGCAGGGATGGTGCCATCGTCGGCGCCTGCACCGAGCCACTGCTGCTGTTCAGGTACGGGTTGTAGGGGTGCGCCTGGGGGCCGACTTTCTCCTGCTTCCGCCATTTCGCCCGCCGATTCTGGAACCAAACCTGCAACAAGACATTCATATTTTTTAAAAACGATTCCCTTTTAGCTATTCAAGCGTATTGCGCGTGTGTTCCATTACATGAGAAACATTAAAAAGCACTCAGTAACACGCATTATCAATTATAGTGCGCGTTCGATTTTTTAAAATTTGTCTTGAAAAAAAAAAGCTCTTATAGTAATTTAAAAATCGTATTTAACGCTGGTGATGAGCACGGCCTTGAATGCATCTAGATTGAACACAACACTGTTATACATGAGCACCCGCGTGTTTTGATGTTCTATTTTACATCCTTCTCATGAATTTCTTATTGTATGGCGTATGAGTTACAGAAGAGCTTTCTTGAGTCTCTCGAGGAACTTTCTTCTGGGGTCAAACACTTGAGGTACTTTCTTCTTCTGATAGGTACTCTTAGGTTCAAAATGTAATATAAGATTTCGTTGATAAGAGCATTAACATGCAAAATTGCGTTTAACAATAATTACAGTAAATAGTGAAAATAATAGAATTCCATTCTTAGTTTTCGATTTGAAAATGTATTAGAATAGGCTCATATTCCTTTGAAATTCAAGTTTTTAGAAGTTTTGTCAGAGATGCTATTAGGTGAAAGTGACTATAAAAATGTTCACGATTGAATTTACATATCTCAAATGCAGTTAATTACGCATCGTAAACATTATAATACTTTGTCTCTCTCTTGATGTGTCCAAGAAAATTACAGAAATGACGAACAAAACGTGCTGCCGTATACCTACAGAGAGAAAGAAAGAGAGGAAAGATCCCTTGTTAAGTAAAAGTATTCTCATCAAGGACTGCTGCAAAATGTTTTTCATTTCTGAGTTATTGCCGATATCAGAAAACGAGGAATTATCCTAAAATTTGGCGGCTTTGGCCTTCGACTCAAGTGGGTAGGTCTGGGAACCTCCAAACTGCTACCCATCACTCAATCGCGAGACGCAATCTCCAAGATTTATAACTAAATTTATAAAAATTAATTAAAATCCTACTTTTCAATGTTCAATAAGTGGCAATTAAGAGTCTTTCTCGAATTATCCAAAACGGTTTTTAATCTATTTTTATGTCAAGCCTGAGGCTTTCGGCGTGGAAGCTGGAACAGGGAACTGGAGTCGGTCATGATAACAAGCTTATACTTGAGTGAGCTGGTTGCTAAACGAGCTTCTCCGTTTATTTCTCACTTTAAATTCTCACGTAAAATTTGCAAGGTATAACCTGCAATCATCTTTTTAAGTATGTTTATGGTCTGAACTCCGCCTATCAGATTGGTGAATGTGACAGTGCTTTCATTTTTACAATTTTGCTTCGGCCAGGGCGCCAGCAGGAGATGATTTCCATAATTCCCGTAGTAAGATTCGTTTTCCTTGTGAAATTTTGAAAAGCAAAAAGGCTGTGTAGTTTTTCAATTCATTCATAAATTTGTCTAATAATCCATTTTTGTACTTTGTGGAGTTACCAAAACAACCAGAAGCATATGAAAGCGATCCCAATAATTTTTACCAGGAGGAGATACTACTTTGAATGATGAGTTTGGAAACACACGAGAATGCTTAGGGACTCGAACGCAGCGTAGAAAAGTAAAATATTTCAAGACGTGGTGACTCCCGATTCGTCCATTCGACCATGATAGCCTCAGTGAAAAACTTTCCGTGTCCAACTCCTTTAAGTAAGGGAGAAAATACTACCTGTGGGCCTTTAGGTGCAAGCCAGGATAATGCCGAGGTAGATGCTCACATGTAGCCAAAAAAAGGGGGTTCAGATGGTCTGAAAGCCCCATGATTTGAAATTTTTTCTGGAAAAGTTCATTTACGGCGATTTTCAGGAGATTTGTCCAGGTTTAAGCCCCCATCCTCTCAGTCGGACTTCGCAATTAAACGACACCCTTGATTTAAGTATACCCATTTCGTAGTAAAATTGCGATTTTTGTCCTGAATTTAGCCCCATGTTCCTCGGAAATGACACGAAATTCAATTTTTCCGACGCCTTCGTAAATAGAGACAATGTGTGAATTTTAGGATTATAATATATTTTGAAGAAATTGATAACACTTTGAAGATCAAAGGACGGGGGAAAAAGGACCACTCAATGAAGAAGCCCTCAGCAAAAGCGTCGTGGTGCGCGATTTGATTCACGTGGACTTTGGCTCTTCTTTTGAGCGAGTATTTCAAATTTTTTGGAACCTTGCGTTCACTTTCCTCCACTCTATCGATAGCATGACACCGCGACTATTCATTCGACCTTCACCTGTACTTTCCATCAATGCTTAACATACTTATCATGATTATACCTATTCCATGCTTTTCAGCGTATTTTTGCATGTGGTGTGCTTGCAAAAGAATTAAACAAATTTAACTTTATGCAATATGGCTAAATCATGTGCTGTAATTTTCCCTGTACCTCTGCCCGTAAAACTTATTGACGATAAAAAATTGATTGTGATTGATCTACCGGTAACAATTTTCTGGTGAAAAATTCAGTTCATATGACTAGATATTGCAATAAATTCATTTCTATGACGGCCTTGGAAAAATTGAAGTGTTTTGAAGACTCACGAGGCAACAATGTATCTTAGAAATATGCCGGGATTTAGACTTTCTTCATGGGATGGAAACGGTTCAATTATAAAGTCATTTTGTTCATTTTTGGTGACACAACTTTTATCTCTCCCCTTTTTTGTCTACTTGGCCGGGAGTTTATAGTTGGAAAACTAACGAGTTGGACTATCAGGCATAGAATAGTACAGAGAGGCGCGCACTAGGAGGAAAACTGTATAATTATTATGTCATTAGTCTATTCCAGTCGATCTGCGTCTCCTTTGTAGCTTCGTGGACCATGATACTCTTCAAAATCCTCATTGGGGTAGGCTGTGCATGTTTTTATTGAGTCATCTGTGTTTTAGGACAGAGACACATGGCATGAGTGATTATCGGCATGCGATGATCAATCACAGAAATCCTCAATTTTTGTCGCCCTATGTTAATTTTTTAGAATGCACCCGCTCTCTCCGATCTTTCATAAAGCTGGGAGTTGCTAATTGTTATGGAAACCGGTTTTTTAGTATGTTCAGTATCTGAATTTCAGGAAATAAATTATGATGGTTTACGTATATGTATTTTTAATGTGCTTTACCTAGAGAAATTTACTTCTACTCTTTAAAACATTTGTGAAATGTTCAAATGCATTGAAAATCTTAAAGCCATGTTTTCATAATTTTAAAGTAAAAAAAAAAATGCAAGCTATTATTAAAAATGCGAAGTTATTATAATTATTGAAAAAAATTTCTAACATTTTGAACGTGATTTTAAAACTTTGTTTTTCTAAAACTATATTAAAATATTTTAATTTCTCGTGTTCAATACAAAAATAAAATTATTTCTTCAATACTTAAAGAAGGTTTATCAGAGCTAAAAATAGCCAATTTGTATTCTAAAATTGCTTAAAAACATGTTTCAGCTATTTCTTAAAAATTTGTTTCTATCACAGATTAAAATGAACCGCTTTTAAGACGATATTAGCATTTGATAATCGGTGCGTTATTATAACACCGAATAAACGGTCAATTAAGTAGAGTTTGATTCAAATTATCTAAAATTATTAAAAAACTCACTTTCACAAAATAAATTTTTATCATGTATCATTTATTTATTTTGTGCAACTTGTGCAATGTGCAATTTATTTCGTGTAAATGATAAATGATAAAAATATATTTTGCACAAGCGAATTCTTTATAGTTTTTTAATAATTTTCAATAATTTTAATCAATTTAGTCTCGTGCTAAGACACGTGCTTCATTTAAAAACAGTATGGTCACCTGAAAAACATCGAATCAAGTTTAACAATTTGGCACTGAAGCGCAGCACCCGGTTTTGGCATGGGGACTCTCCTTTGGTCCTATCCTCCGACTGAGACAAATTAGCGGTTGCCGGATCGGAAATAGAGAAAAATCTACTTTTTGAGGTCAGGTAAATGAAAAGCGGACGACAAATTACAGGTGAAAGAGGGGCGGGGCGGAGAGGAGGAGATGAGTGGATAACACCCTCTAATGAACGGCAAATTCGAAAATAAACACCGGAAGTCGGCCATTTTTGATTTTTTCGTCGTCAAAGGAACCCGGACCCACCCGCACAGCAGCGGCCGTGGCGCGGGCTCACCTCGTCGCTCCTCTGACGTAAGGACGTATCTCTGTTCCCACATGAGCCTTACAAAGCATTGAGTTTTACGGAGCACAGGGCTCACGCGGAAATCGAGATGTGCCCTTACGTCAGGGAGTGACGACTTGCGGCGCGGCGGTGGTGGTCCTGTGATGCTGACATTTACAGGTCCGGTAATTGACTCTAACGAACCAAATTATAGGGTCGGCCCGCGTTGAAAGTGATCGAGTCCGAGCCTATTTCTTAGCCGCGGCTCCGAGGCTTTCGGCTCCGGATTCGCATTCCGGGATATCGTCGTTCCTGGTGTCCTGTCGTTTTTGCCCAACGATCCCGGAATCCCCGATGGTTCGCCCGAAAACACGATTCTTTTCAATCTTTAGGAAATGGAGATGTTGCATGTGTGAGGAATTTGCGATTTGACTGTTGATTCTTATGTAAAAGTTCGCGAGAAACACGATAATGCTACTGGTTTTCTCTGAAATCAACTCCCAAGCTCAAAAAAAGCTCTCAAGTTGAGGCCAGAATGGAGGGGATATCCCACCCTTCTCTGAGAGTCCACTTCTACATCAAGACAAACTCTCCGTGCAAAGATAGGAAGCAAATACTGTTTTGGCAAATATCAGTATGCAATATGGATACAAAATATTGTTAAAGTTGTTTTTTATTAATGATTCCAACATGCGTGACGTCGTTTTGGTACAACGACATAAGGAAGGACCATTAAACAAGTGTGAAGATAAGAGGTGAAACCGTTGCATAAAATAATCATTGGAATGCGGTTTAGGTTGTAAGAACAACCGGTTATGACCTTTTCTTGAATTAATGAAAAAAAAATATA